TGGACAAATGCATAATCTTACAGTTTTGTAATCACATGCAACAATAGAGCTTGTATGTAATAGTTTGTGTTTTACTGCTGTACTCTGATGCTGGCTGCATTTTAGAGAGCACAGTATGAAAGTAAGGAAGAGTCCACAGCCAAATAAGGATTTCATGTATTTTTGTAAATGGACCTTTGTTACACTGTGCTTCATTTCTATGATAAGTTTATCTTCTCAGCCTGGTGTGATTTGGCAGGCTTTTGCCTTCTTCGTTATATTCTCAATGTCCAGTTCAAAGAAAGTGTAATAAGTCAAATAATGTATTGCTACATCTGCCTTGAATGCATTTTGTAATGCAGGCTAATCCAAGACACCATGACTGTACCTCCATGGATCATAAGAAAGCATGCAGAATAAAATTCTTCCTTTTTTTTTTTTTTTTTTTTTTTGAAACCGGAATTAAGAGGTTTGAATGGAAGAAAAAGGAAAGCAGGCTTTCAAAAGCAGTTAGAAAAGTATTTGTCAGGGAGAATTTAGGTTATGTGTGGGTTTCAGTGTAAGGGGCCAGACTCTTGATTTGGGGGAACTTCTGAAGCTCTCTTTAGACTTGTGTTTCTGTGAACACAAGTTGTTAGAATACAAGTTGTCAGAAGATTTGGCTGCACGTGGTTAGGATGTCTAAACAGGAACCACTGTTTTATACACATTTTTTAGTCCTTCTCCTTTTCTTAGTAGTAAAACTAATGAAAGTATCAATACATTGATGCCTGAAGAAGTCTTCTGAACCATTTTTTAAAAACAACTGTTATTTTAATTGCTTTCTTGTCCCATCCTCTCCTTCACCAAGATGACTGTAGCAGTATTCTGCTGTTTTCACCATTACATGTTATTCCCTCTTGGAAAAGAGATCATGGTCATGTTAAATCCACAAAATATACTTGGCTGAGTGTCCCAGTGTAATCCATGTGAGCTATCGTATTTGCTTGTTTTTAAAAAGCATTTTTGATGGGTTTTTTGGTTGAATGTTTGCTATTCATACCTTGCCCTGGTTTGTTTGGGTTTTTTTAATATTGTATTTCAAATCTTGTGGCACAATTAATATTGAATCTGTTGGGGTTTTTTTCCCTCTCCAGTTTCCAGATGCTGTATGCAGATTGCTATATGACCCGTGAGGAGTTCTGGGATATGTTTGATGGTTCATTATACCACAAGCTGAGGGAGGAAATGAATTGCAAGGATGCTTTTCCAGAAGTGTACGACAAAATCTGCAAAGCTGCAAGGCACTGAGCTTGGATGATCTAATCAAGCAATCAGGGAAAGATGAATTTACCTATAACTAGTCAGTATATCCTTTTAAAAAAAAAGCTTTATTGCTCTCCAAATAAGCTCATTCTTGTTGATGTTTAAATGTATGAATTCCTGCTTTAAAAATTTATGTTTAGTATTTCTTCGTATGTCTTAAAACCAATTTTCCAAACTCAAAGTGATTGTTTTGAAGAAATCTTAAGTGCTAGCCTTTGTATCTAATGTAGTGACATAGGTGAATTCACCTATTTCCAAGCATAAGAAAAATAATTGGAAAGGAAGAAGATCCTGGAGTTACACCAGCTGTATACTACAGCTATACTTAACATTACTTTTGAAAATGGTAGGGAGGGTTCAGAAATAGGTGCCAAAGCTGAACACATTTTCAAATTAATCATGATGTTAAAAACATTTGCCTCCGGTCAGTAACCTGTAGAACAGCTTAGCAATGGTACCGTAAGCTTCCGGCTGTACAGCGCTGCGTGATGTTGTGTGGTACTATACTGCTTGGGTACTAACGTCTCAACAGAGCAGTTAGACTCCCCAACAGTGGCGTTGGTTTCTAAACTGAGCGTCGAGGGGTAAAGAAAATGCTTTTTACTTGTGCCTATCGGATTTGTACTGATTTTGAGTATAAAGTCTAAGTGGATATAGGTTTTTAGGTACTTTTGAATTGGTTAAGAGTGCATTGGGTTTTGCCCCAAAATATCAATGTTCTGGCTTTGTAGACAACTGAAGAAATTGCTGCTATTTCATATAGGCAAATATTAATTTCATTTTTTTACTCATTGTGAGTCAGTTTATTTGGATTTTTCCTGATTTTGGTTTTGTGTTTTTTTGGGGGTTTTGGTTGTTGCTTAATTTTAGTGCCTTATAAATACCCAGTTGGAGAAAGACGTTGGTTATTTCAGACCGTTCTGTCCTGGCCGGTAGGAAAAGGAAGTCGAGGCTTTGTTTATACCAGGTTTGTTAGAGCAAGCGGCTGTGGATAAGAACCCTTGTTGTGAATCTGGATACACACGGGCTTTGGTTTTGACACGAGTGACATTTTTGCTTTTCATTTTAGCTGGATTAGATTGATAGGCTTTGTAAAAGGACTGTTTCAGCCACCTGGAGAGGAAATCAACAGCAAGTCCTGTTCAGTTCCCCTTCTGCTGCTCGCTGGTGAAAACGGCACAGTCACGCACTTCGTACGGTCAAGCGTAGAAGTGTGGAAATGTTTCAACCCTGTAGCCAGAAACAGGGTTCCAAACCAAGCCCGTATCTTGTCCAAGCGGTATTTAAAATTGTTACTTCAAACCTTACTGAGCTTGAGGGAAAAGAAAGTGATTTTCTTGAGGTTTGCGTCAGGGGTAACCCGAAGAACTTTTTAAACAGTTACCAGTGGGAGGCGTTGTAATTTTTATGAGTGCTAAACCAATGATTTTATTTATTGATAGATGGATGTTTATGGTCCAGATGAAACCAATGATAAAGCAGTAACAAGAATAAGCTTGGTCTGTTACTCAGTGATGCATGCTGGTAAATTGTGTGCAAACAAGGTACCCTTTAAAATCCCGTGCAGGGGACTGGTAGTGGGGTGGCCTGCCATGGGGAGACACAGCCGCTGCAGAGCCGCTGCAGAGCCGGGCAGGAGCTGGAGCTGTGTCAGTGATCCAGGAGCATCTGCTACACCGTTCCAGGCTTCGGGGTACGCAGGAAGGCAGGCGCTGATTCTCAGGGTGTAACCTGCCTTCCTGCCCCTGCCAGGAAAGCGGCGCCAGAGCCGTTTCCTCATCCCTGGGGCAAAGCTACAATTTAGCCCAGTGCTCGTAATCTGCACAGAGCAAGAGTGGGTTTGGTTAGCTTTTAAAGGGTGATGCTAAAACAGCTAGAGGATATGCAAATACTTTTACTTAGGCTGTGTTTCTCTCACTTACGTACTGATGATCTTTAAGTACGTGCTGTATTTGTTTTTTCACTCCTTAATTTATTGGCAAACTTTGTATGACGTGATTGGGTACTGTAATTGTATCAGTCACACACATGCACATGCATAATTGCTGTTGCTCTTAATTTTTGGTTGTGCGGGCTGTTTAAAATAAAGATCTAGCCAGCGTACTGTTCCAAGTGGTGTCTTTTAATGATTACTTACTTTTCAACGGCTGTGTTTATCATTTCTCATTGTATTGAGAATCATCGCTACAAATGGTCAGTGGTTACTGAGAAAAGCTGCTGTACGAGACCAGAGGCGTCAAGAGGTGGTTGGGAGAGGAGGAGAGCCTCGTGCTGCAGCCAGCTCCGAAGGATTGGCTTTGCAGTCTGTGAGTCTGCCTTTATCTCTGCCCCAAGCCACAACTGCACAAAACAAACACTGTAGAGCTGAGCCTTAACCCTTCAGTTACACCCCACTAACTCCACGTAGCCTCGTCATGCCAATTATCCTGGGTTTTTCCCCCCCTCGCCTCATTCTTTCCCTGTGATGTTTTGTCTAAGGAGGGCAAAACCCCATTTTGGATTCAGGTGCTATGCTGTTGATACGGATAGCTGCTTCATTCTTCTCACTTCACGCTAATAAATCTAATCCCTGGTTTGAATGAGCAGCCACAGAAGCAAGGATGAAGATTCAGTGCACTCTTCCAAGGAAACGGATCATGTGGATGTGAAACTCCTCAGGCTGAAAAATGCCTTCACAGCAGCTCTGTAGGCTTAGTCAGAGGAATTCCTGCCCCTCCCTTGGTCAGAGCTGGTGCATCCTCTCCCTGTGCTCTTCCCGGAGAGAAGCTCCCGGGCTTTCTCCTGAAATCCAGCTGCAGAACGCCTCAGCCCCACTGAAACCACGGTCCAGGTGCCAAAGCCCTGCTGCCTTCCTTGAATCGCCTTCTGTGCTGGCCCTGACTCAGCTGCATCACAATCCTCTTGCGTTGCCCCCGCAGCGTTTCTGTAGCCTGCGTTTGCCCACCCCACCACTTGGGCCTTTCCCCTCAGAAACCTCCTTCCTCCTCTGCTCACCTCTCCCAAACAATAATCAGCATTTCCTTAAATCAATGCAGCTTTACCTGCGTCAAAGGTATGTCCACCAAAGGATAATTGCAGATTAATTAGCATACTTAATCAGCCACAACTAACGTGTAATTACACCTAGAATTAATTATTCCAGTCTGGTCTAAACACTAGTACGAGATTTCATAAAGGTTAACCCTAAGCGAGCCAGAGTACTCACCGTGCATTTTTGTGGCTGTTGTTACCACTGACACAGCTCTGTTCACTGCACTTTCTCCATTGCCTCCAGGTTTTAGTATCCTACAAAACTTGGAATGATGACACTTAAATTCCCCTTAATTCCCTCCAGCTGCTTGTAAACATTTGCGTTGTTCAAGTGAAGCTGTACGTCGCAGCTTGCGATGAAGATCCTCGCGCATGGCATGGGACAGGTACGTAACTACTCAACACTTCGACATAGTACTGCTTCCTCAGACCCAGCTCTCCGTTGAGTTGTACCTTAAATATTTTGAGAGTATTTGGACTTTTATAGAATCCAAGGTGGAAATAATGAACTCAACAGAAAAATTAGACTGCTGATTGTCCAAGGAAGTGTTTTATTACCACAGAACAAGACTTTGAGTTTCCCACCTCCTGACTTGTGTGCCAGCACGCTGTATTTTCCACCTACTCTGTCTCATCCGCTGGCGTGTCTGCCGCTTACTGACTGATCTGGGCTTCCCAGCACCGTCTTATGTTTGGAAAACGGCAGTGACTTCGTCAGAGGTGTCTGGACAACGTGGAGCAAAAATCAAATCACTCCAGTTGTTTTTAGCAACAGGCTTGAGCCGCTCGCTGTGGAAAGAGGATGCAATTCAGTGGGCTCAAATTATTGGCTGGATTAATCTCATTAGTCTTAATCAGCATGGACATGAACTGAGCTCTTAAAAGCCTGGCTATTCCTTAGAAAGCACAGCTGTAGCTTGAAAAGTAATTTTGGAGCCAGTACTATTTGATCAGAAAGATGTGTTTGAATTCCAAGTTCTGCTCGCTGCTCAGATTTCTTTTTTATTCCCACTGGAAGTGCAAAATTAACAAAGCTAGGCAATATTGAAAGCTAGGTTTCATTGTGCTGCCTCCATCACAGGACAGCTGACTTCTGGCTGCCCCACGGAAAGCTGCCGAGGTCCATTCAGCCAAGGCCAATTTCTAACTCCTCTCTGGAGATCAAGACAGAGCCGTCAGCCCGTGGTGCCACCGCAGCAGTTTGCTAATCTTGGCCACGAGCAAAGGTGAGAGCGGAGGGCTGTCCCGAGGCCCCTCATTAGGATAGTTCCTAACTGCTTCACAGGGTTTTCACGCTGGTGATTTCAAAGCCCTCTGAGGTGAAAGTGAGCCTTGTTGTCTTCCGTCCTCAGACGGGCAAACCAAGGCACAGCCTGAGAAGGTGATTTTTGTTCGGGGCCATTGAGCAGTCCAGCGCCGGCACTGGGAACGAGCCCAGGCAGCCTGATTATCATCCACCTCCCAGTTCCTTCCCAGGCTGCCTCCTCTAACTCAGCAGAAATTACTTGCTTACACCTCCAATGCAGGCAAATCGCATTTCACAAGAGACAACCACCACCTTGACACCTGTGAAGTGCCTTGAGAACCAGTAGTTCTTTAACCCTCCCACTACGCGGTGGGGAAGCACGAAGGTCTCCTCGCTTTCCTGGGAGGGGAGAGGTGCAGCAATACCAACCTCCCTGCGGTGGGAGAACCTGTGGTGGGGCTGGCGAGTGTTTCTCAGTCCCGATGCAGTGCTTTAACTACATCACCATCCCATCTCCCATCAGTTGTAGTGTCAGTAACGTGCACGCAGCCTCCCCAGAGCTGCTCGAGATGATTTTCCTGTAAGCCAGCGTGAAACCACTCACAGCCCCCTCGTCTGTCAGACTTACAGCAAGCAGGCATCCCGCTTCAAGTTGCTGAGGTACCGCTGCGCATCACACCAGTACAGGGACTGGCATCTCGTCTTCTGAGGGTATTTTTCATGCTCAGTGATGTCGTAGCGACCAACACCTACAGGGTTCTGGAAGGAGAAGGTCTCATGCGCTTTCCCATCTAGAGGCAGCGTGGTGGATGTGAGTGGGGCAAAAGCAGGCAGTGCCTTCACGTGGCCAGGCCTTCAGTTACAAAAAATACAACAATATGTGGCCTATCTTAACCAAACTGAGCCTATATTGCAGGGGAGGGAGGGAGGAGAAGACACGCTAATCAGTGTTAGCCCAGCCAGTCCCCTTCACGAGCAGTTCTCACCACAGCGGTCCATAAAGAGGTCGATTAGCTCTGCAGGCTTGAGCATGCTCACCAGTCACCTACTGCTAGCTGCAGCAAAGGGCTGCGGTGTCACAACCTCCCCACTGAAATGTAATCTAAGTTCCCCAGCAATTACGAAGACGTCTTCATTCTCAACCTCTTTGAAGTTGCCCCACTCAGCTGGATAAAGGAGAGAAGCCACGTGGAAGCCTGCTCCTCATCCCTAGCCAAGGTGGGCTATTTCAGACTAAAGCTTTCCCTGTCTGCTTTGAGCCCTCTAGGCTTTGTTCTGGTTCTCCGTGGGGAAGCTGCCAAGATGAATACAGCTCCAGGAACAGGTACTAAGGGCTCCTACCTGCACTAGTTTTGCAATGTGCTGCTGATGCTGCTAGAGGAAAAACTGTCTTTCAAGCAGCAGAATACGACTTTCTGAGAGGATACAAGGAGCTCCTGGCACCAAAAAGGACTCAAACCCAGCTGCCCTCATCCATGAAGTGCATCCGCTTGCTTCCAGCTGATGCAGAGCAAAACTAATGGGAAGGGTGGTCTGAGCATCCCTTGGAGAGGGCAAAGCCCTGAGGATGCAGGGGGAGATAATGTGGTCGCTGCTGAGCCCCTGCCCCTCTGCCAGCACCAGCCACGCTCACCTGCCTACGGGCAGCGTGTGCTCAGCGGTGGGTGCTCAGCGGTGGGTGCTCAGCGTGCTGCTGTACGCAGGGGGCACCCTTCCCTTGACCTGGCAGGTCGCTGGGCCGTGGGCCCTTATTCACCATTTATTCTTTAGCAACCTGTTGTGGGCAAGAACAGCACCCAGAGAGGGACGCATCTCCTCTCTAAAGGATGGTACCTGGCCAAGTCGCTCAGGTTTCCTTGATAATTAATGGGGAGAGAAAAGCACCTCCTGAGGTCAGTCTGCCCTTCTATCACAGCCAGCCACCTAAGGTGGGACTTCTGCTGGGGTGCTGCTTCGTTCAGAAGACACACCTAATGTTTAGCGGGCTGAAGCTGGTGAGGAGTGCCCACTCTTACTGTGGCTCAGAAGAGTTTCGTCCTCTCCCAGGGGTGCTGGTAGTGGATTGGGGATGGTCATGGAGGAAGCTCAGACCGTTCCTGCGTCCCTCTCTCACTGCCATGTCCATTCACTCACCTCGTTGCCAGTAAAGAGGTGGTAGGACCTTCTGTCGAACCTCTTGGCAGATGACCAGAATGGGGGTTGGAATTGGCTGGAATATGTGGATCTCCCAATGGGATTTGGGTTGTAGGAGCCCGGCCCCACCGCATACTGCGCAGAAGAAAACCTGTCATGCTTCAGTTCCCTTGTAGAAAGAGCTGCACAAAATCAGAGCGCCACCCACCCATCCCTCCATCCATCCATTCACCCAGGGCCTAATGCATCCCCACCCCAGCCACCCGCTGCACCGCCAGGGATGCCAGTGACACCAGCCAGTGCCGACGTCCCCGCTCCCACTGACCGCCTCTCTCGGGCACTGGCTGAGCGTGGCCCAGAAGATCCTCTCCGTGGGGCAGCCCGGGTTCCTCGGCAGGGTGCTGAAGCAGCCTTTCTTCTTGTTCTCCTTAAACATCAGCTCTTCCACGAAACCCTTGACAGTGCCAGTGCTTGGCTCGGCACGTCTCCTCTGCCGGGAC